TCATCACGTTAATTTTTTTTTTCTTACATTAATATAAATCTAAATGGAATAAAAATTTTTCGCTTTGTCAAGGATGAACAAGTAATCATAACCATCAGGATTATGAGCTAAAACAGTTATATCATCTAATTTTGATGTACAATTTTTGACTTGATCTTATCTAGTCTCAAGTTTTTGTACAGTCTGCTCTAAATAATTTATGTGAAAGTCATTAGAAATATTTATCTAAACTACAGATCCTTAATTTGTTTTACCGTAAGTAAATGGCATATGAAAATACTAGCAGGTGCGTTAGTTCGTTTACAATTGAGCTACAAACAAATTTACTAAGATCCTTAACTATTGCTTGATTCAAGCTATCAACAAGGTTGCCTATTCATACCGTTTTCTTTGTTTACAGGCACTTTGTTGATAGCGTGCATGGTTTTTTTTTTACTTTTACAAGAGTGATTTTCTCCCTGTTTTATGGTAGCCTACTGTGTTAAAAAACGTTATCAACAATATCGAAAATTACAAAAACACTAAATTAGTGCCTCATCAGTATACTAACAATTAGGGTAATGAAAAAACTCCAACTTTTTTCGTTTCTCTATAAATTCTATAACAAGATACTACCCAGTACAACGAGGTTTAATAATTAAGTCTAAAATTTTGGGGAGTAACAAGTGATTACAATCTTTTATGTATCGTAGGTAACGGTACATTGTACTTAAAATAGTGTCCTTTTCGTTCTCTAAAGGATATTAAAAATTAATGAATCGATGGAAAAAAGTTGTTAATGTAAAAGGGACTTCCTCATATGCTTTGGTAGTCACCTCTTGGAATTCAACTGAACCGGACTAACACCTATAAAATAAAATATACAACAGTAACAGTCAACACTGCACGGCACGTTAATTTTTTCTGGTATTATATTCTTATTTTCCTTAACAAACGTCATTTAATGTAAATATACTTTTTACTCTAAAATTTTTCGATGTAAGTGTTACATTAAATTATTTTCCTGTAAACAAGTTACCTCAATTTTTTTCAGTCAAAAATTGTGATGTTTTCTAAATTGCTGTCAAGAATGAGGAAAAATAAATTCAAGTTTTCATCATTGAAACTGTTTTACTTCTGTTGTCGAATGCTTGGGACGATGACTATTAATTTTAAAGAGACCCCCATTAGAAATAATACTTTTAACCGTTGGTCGTTTGGTTTTTCTTACATTGGGATGGTTTACAACATTTGTTTATTGATAATATTCATTGTACCGCAATATTTTCATTTACAAAATTTACTCGAAGTAATAGCTGGAAATTCTACTTCAAATGTATTTTTTGCTAGCTCCATGATTCATCAAACACTTAGTGTTGCATCAGTCAGTTTTATTCTGATAGAAGGTATTGTTAAACAAAAAGCTGCCATAACAATTTTTACAAAATTCAATGCCATAAAAGAATCAGTAGGAGAGTTAAAAAAATACAAGAAAAATGAGGAATGGATATCACAAAATAAGATATACGTTTGTTTACTAATGTTCAAGGATATTCCAATGCTATACGATCGCATTAAATTAATTGCACGTGCCCCAAAGGCAAAAGAAATATTTGATCTCATCGAATCCATAATGCATAACTTGATAATAGATGTTAACATGTTACAATATCTACTTTTTACTATTTTAATTAAAGATTTTTTAAGAATAGTTAATCATCATTTAAAAAATATTTTTGTAAATTCTAGTAGTGTTGCGAGAATGAGTTATGCCAATAAACGACCAAAGTTGCAGACCATATTTAAACTGCAAAAAATGTACACGTCAATAATTGAAATATCTAACGATATATCTAATTTTTCATCATCTCCTGTATCAAGTGATCAAATTTAATCATCCCTCGGCAGTAAAAAACATAGTTAATTCTAGATGAATATTAAAGATTTATTAAAAATAGTTAATGGTCATTTAAAAAGTATTTTTGTGAATTCTAGTAGTGTTGCGAGAATGAGTTATGCCTATAAACGACCAAAGTTGCAGACTATAATAAAACTGCAAAAAATGTACACGTCAATAATTGAAATATCTAACGATATATCTAATTTTTACTCTTTGAGCATATTTTTATCTATCATGGATAATTTTACGTTTATTTTATTTTCTGTTAGAGGAATGATAGCAATTCTGATTAAAAGTCCTTATGCAATACACAGCTTGAAAATGAAATTACTCTTTATTGTTAATTCTTTTATACCGCTTCTACTGTTGGTAAAGTCTGCAAACTCGGTAATCAAACAGGTAATATAATATGTATTATAATACTCAATAAAAAACTTTAATTTTTAATAATATAATTTTACATACCTTCTTAAATTATACAGAGTAATAAAATTAAGGTCACATTGATGAAGTGCTTGATGTATAATGATAGTGTGGAATACCAAAATGTAACATTTCAGGTAAGAATTTAAAGATAAAAAATTTTATTAACATATAATTAATTAAGAGGAATTTTTATTTCAAGCTTCTGATATTTTTATATCGATGCAGAAAATCAGTTCTCAAGTTTAAAGTTTTCAATATTTTTCAAATAAATGAGTTACTGATTATTTCGGTAAGTGTTCTTTCAACGTTCTAAAATAAAATTACAATGTCAAATATCATTAGAGTAAGCACAAAAGTGTAAAATTTATTTTTAACAAAGGATATTAGTATATTAACCTTTTTTTTATAGATGATAAGCATAAACGTGTCGTATGCATTCACACTATATAAAATATTATCAAAATACAATAAAAAATCTATGCTGGAATTAGTATCAGATGGTGGATAGCTGCAAAATATTAAAGTATGGGCTGTTGAAGCTGTTGTTTATTTTTCGCACCGTTAAANTATATAAACTCGTTCTTCGAAAACACTGTAAAAATTATTGAACATAATGGTATAAAATAACATTATGTGTGAAACGTCCAAATCTATTTTCATATTGAAGTACCATCCTACCTGACATCATACTTTTTCATGCTTCTGTCTAAAATTAACTTGTTTGGTTGCTGATGTTAGTAAAATACTAAATTACCGTTAAACATTTTATCAACTCTGTACGTATAGCTAAGTAACATTACTTGATGTTCACTGCGCCACACCTTTTATTGTTACAAATGCCTTGGCACAGTGTAATAGTAATTAAGAAAGGTCTTATTTTCACGTAGCAAAAAATTTTACTTGCCATAGCACGTTTGATAAATTACCTGGAAACTTTGCAACATGAAAAAGGTAATGATCGCAGTGTAACGTTTGTAAGAGTATAGTGCGTGACTTACTAAGCATAGCCCTAGCTTTGCAGGTTGCAATGTTATACGGACATTGTAGATTGCTTGAACAGATTTGTGTATCATCTATTTCATTAAATCAGGACTATTCATTAGTTGAGGCTGAAAAAAACATAATTAAAAAAATCAATAATAATTACTATTCATTTCGAAAGTCAATACCTGGAGATAGTAAATGACCAGTTTTTTTAAAAACTTTATCCTAATTTTAGATTTATAGACATTGATAATTAATGTCTGTTTGGGATGCACGCAAACCATATATTTTCTAGAAGAGATTTCATTTTACTCATAATAAATGCAATTTTGACTCGAGTATATTGTTGGTGCACCTATAAAAAAAGTTCTCAAAAATCTCTAAAAACAGTCGTTAGTATTTTGAAAGAAAAGTTCGGATCATACCATCAAAGGCATATAGGTTCGTAATGTGTTTTATAGACATGATATCGTGTGGGTCTTTTTCAATAGTTTTTAGCAACTGAAAAAATGCGTTTATTTGTAGATGATTTTTAAAAAAATCTATAACTAGTGTTGAAATCAATCTTAAAAGCCAAATTTAATTGTTAAACACATGAAGTGAATTAAAAAGAGTAGTTATTTTTGTTTTATTCAAATCTAAGCTGTACTTTTTATTAAATCAACAATTATGTGAATTACTTGCAACATTATGAGCCGAACAGACACGATGACCTTAACTTAACTGTAGCTGACCGACTATACAGATTATTATTGATTTTCCAACAAAGAATGTATTTACGCATAAACTATACGCATTTGTATATTATTAAAATACACGTAACTTATTGTCTCTTGTTACGGACAATTCAATTAAATAATCAATAGGAGGTTCAGAAAGTTTTTAGTCATAGTGCTTTTTTGGTATATTAATTTAGGTGTTGTATAATTTTTTTAGTGTATGTGTTTTAAAGCTGTGTCCAGATACTCTAATAAGTTTCATAAAATAATTTTGTAATGAAGGAATAAAAAATAGGTTTAGGTTGATAAAACTCACAATTTATTTATTACATAAAATCGATTCTACAAAAAAAATTAATGACAATAATACAATTTGAATCCATTAAACTTGAAAAAGTTTTACTGGAAGTCTTCACAGATTATAAAAAAAGGAATTACATGTTCAATATTACATTATTTAGGCACTAATTGAAACATCTTTAACAAACTACAGACGACTTAGGGGTTGGTGGTAACAGTTATTAGAAAAAATATGTTAATTTACTATTTATTTGTCTTTAAACTAGACATTAAAATAAAAATCAGTTGACACAACTTATCCCGCTTTTGGGAGTAGTCGTAACAGCCATGAAGTGGGTAATAAAAGTATAAATAGAGCTAAATTTCATACCCATTTTGACTTCAGTTTTATCATCATTTTTCATTCTAACAACTTTTAAAAAATGAACATCCCAATTAATACTTTTAAATAGTTTGTTGATTACAGTTATCTTTTAAAAGTTCAGTTGTAAAATTAACTAATTTTTCTTGATTTTGACTCTCTTTTCTATTTCCTCTATTAAACCCTTATTTTAGAACAAAAAATATAATGCGTAATCGTAATGTACAAATGCAAGTTTTGAGGAGTCAACTTGCCCCCGGAGATTGTAACAACTCACCCCGTAACATGAATGAAATAAAAGCTGGTAACCCTCGGAAAATTTTGCGTGTTACTATTTACCCCTCTTACATATATCTCCCAGATTCCCTAATGAATAGACGTGGAAATCAAAATCTAAAGGTTGGCCCCTTTCACTCGTCAGCACCATGGTCAAAGTGTCGTAACCGATTCCACCAATTTCCAGTTTAGGAAAACTTTGTTTGCCAAGGGGTCCAACATCTCGAGCTTCGATGTAGCTGATGTGTTGATATGGCTCTTGAATATTGCAAGTTATGACTTTTTTCAGTATTTGACCAGGTTGAGAAGCCAAGTGCACATCGCCATAGCACGCCAGTGTATCCTGTTTCACTCTATCACCCCACGATTGACTAAATGCGTTGGTGCTGATAAAAGCCCAGCACGAGATGACCAACACAAAAATTGAGCACTTGAACGCAGCCATGTATTTTTTTTCTCAAAGCTTGGTGAATGTCGTCTTTCTAGCCAAGCGAAAAAAGAACTGAGTCCGAGTACCTGCTGGAAACACGTTATAAATAGTTTGGTGTACGGCGTGTGGGCACGCGGACGATAGTTTTGAGTTATCGTGTTGATTTATCATATCTTGTTGCGAGGGAGCATAGGAGAGAACATGTAAAATATACGAATCTTTAGAAACAAAGATTAAAACTGATGTACGGTAACATCATTGGCATAATACATGACTCATAAGAGTAATTTTACGTGGAAGATGTGATCACGCAGTTTTGAGAATCCAGAATAATTTACAAGCAGTTTAATGAAAAGAGATGCCAAAAACTCGGTTCGATTCAACTAAAGTGATGAAATTGAAACTTTTTTTTTATTAAAGTTCAAACAAAATACATTTGCTCTACCAGATAAGTATAAAAGAAACATTATTTGTATCTGAAATATAAATTTTTTATACAGGTAAGTTTAAGATGTAAATTGTGTGAACGTAACTTTGCTTGTTCTGTGAATTGCGAGTAATGAATAATGATTTGTCATCTGGTTACGTCACTATTTTTGATAGATTCATTTTTGGATGAGCCTTGAATTATACGAATTTGGAGATAAGAAACAATCAAATGTCAGTTGGTCGATAGCTATGCCATGAGTATGTTAAAACTGATGAAATTATGAACACTTGTTCAAACACGAGCAATGCTGATGACCCAATGTTTTTTTCCGTCTCGAGAAGTAGAGTTTTATTGGTAGCTGACGTATTAGCCTCTTGATATTAATATTTTCTCAACTCTTGACAAGATTATTATACTTAAATTAGTCCATAATCATTAAAACATACTAGGTTGATAATCTTCACTCTTTGTTAAAACTTAAGTATTACCACATTAGCTGTTATAGTATAGTTTTTATCTTGAAAAAATTAATAACAATAACAATAACAATAAATAAGCTCAAAGTTATGCAAAAATACAATAGCTTTTCACTTTAGTTCATTAGGATCCGCTAGCTGGCATAGAAATAAAATTGAAGCTACCGGCAATCAAAGTTAGTGAGTCTAGTTATAATGATCCCGAACAGGATATGGATTACCATAGTCGTCTACTGGTAGTACACCGAACACAGAGCTTTTAGTTGTGCAGTTGGGTATCCCGGCTATAGATGGTATTTAACAGTGGGCAATAGTCTGGCGATCTACGCCGATTTCCGACTTGGATTGCTAAGACGACCGAGTGTCACGAAAATAAAGGCGTTGTAAATGCTAACGTCCTTGATATCATAAAACCAGGAGACGTCTGGCTACAGCATGACTAGCTCCAAGCTCCAATGCTTAAGGGCATCATGGCTGTTCTTCAAACCAACCTGGTGCTGTAAAAGCACTGTTTGAAAGAACAGCAAGTTAAGGAGAACAATTCCAAACGATTCGGGTAGTCTCATCTGCTGAAAATATTAGCCTCTGAATAAAAATATCACAACTAGCCTTTTTCAGAGCCATTATGACTCTTTACGTTTACTAAACCACCATCAATCTCATCAGTCCTTTTTAGGTCCATTTAGCGTTAAATTATCTTGTCAACAAATCTTTTTTTACAACTATTTCCAAAAAATATTTTGAAGAAAATTCGAACAAATATTTGCCCACTAATAGACCTTATAAAGCCAACCTAGTACAAAAAATTAGTCATTCACTGGCAGACGTCACAAGTGGAGTAGTTCGTTGCAAGGCTGGGAACCTCGGTCACCGACGACCCTGTATTGCCCTCTCGAATCTAAGCATTCAATCAGGTATCACCGATCCTTCCCAAGGTATGCGTTCGACGAATCTGAAAGTGAAGCTGTAAAGAAGAAACAAACTTGAGCAAATTGAACAGTCTCCAACAGGCAAGCATCACGAACTAATCTCTCCACCTTAGATCACCAACACCTCTAGAGTAACATTAGGAGACGTCGGGAAAGAGTTCTTTAACTAGCTCCAACGCTCCCGACGTTGTAGTTTTCCTAGCGATCTCTGGTGCTACAGCAGCAGGCCAGAGAAGATCACCCTGAAGTATAGAGGTAATCACGTTTGCTGGAAACTTCAGTCAAGAAAGAGTTCAGCTTACCGGTCCTTTTTAGGGCCATCGAACGTCGAACTACCTTTAAGGAGAGACTGAGGCAGAACTGCCGCAGAACATTTATCGAGATTAAAACAGTAGCTTCAAAATCGACGAATAAAGAATCTATTAATTGAGAGATTAGCTTTCCATTATAACCATGACAGTAACTACTTAAATCTTCCAGATTTTTAAATAGGTAGAATAATATGTATTTGTATTTATTGGGGCGATAAAAAATGGAGAGATTAAGCTCCAGGGCTTTGTTGTTCTGGTAATAAATTTGTGAAATTGGAAAACAAATTTTTTAAGTATATATATTTTTTGTCAATTTTAAATCCTTACAGTTTTAACAAATAGCCCTTTTTATTTATTATAACACGAGAAAGTGTAAATTAACTGTATGGATTCCAAACAAACATTTTTTCTACTAAGGAGTTTTTTCTGAGAAGTGTCAAGAATAAATGTAAAATATTTAACCGAAATCATTACACATTGCGGGTAAACACACTAAAGTGCTCCACTCAGCAAATCTCGGGCGAAGCCGAGACGGGAGATTGCTAGTTAATATATGTAAATAAAAAAGACCAAAGTTGTTTTAATTTAAATGCCCCAATCTTTATTTAAACCAAAAGTAAACATTTGAACAGAATTACCCATATGTCTTTTTTGATTTTCAAAATATTTTTTATTTTTAGTCTTTGTTTTCGGGTTTTCTCTGCATACAGTAGCCTCTATTATTATTAATTTTTTTTTCCTTTAAATTTCGTCTTATTCTAAGAAAAATCGACTTCAAGATATATAAATTAAATCTTCAATACAAATAGAAGAATCAAGTTTCAACATGTAAACGATTGATAAATTTGTTGTATTGTACCGATTTGCTAGTCATGCATTTTATTGTAAAAAAATAATTATTAAGGCTCATTATAATGCTAATTGCAAGAGTGCACTATTATAAACTATTAAATTTGTGAAAAAAATGTCTTATCAACAGCTGCAAATAAAAAGGTGCACTCTGCTTGTTCCACAGTAGTGACATTCCATGTACTTATATGGTAATACCACAAACAGAGTCCAGTCCAAACTTCCTGATTCTCTTGCCCACTTATTTTGTCGTGTTTGTAGAAAATTTGGGGAGTAGCCAAAAGGTGTCGCTGATAAGCAGTGATAAAACAGAGCTTTTAATCAATTTTGTCATGGCTGCATAGCTTGAAGTTTTTCCAATAAAATTTTAAATTATATTAAAGCTTTTAAAAAACCATACAATTTGTAATATCTTGTAATAAATAATTTTCAACATCATATCTTAAAAGATCGATAAACAAAAAAGCCCTTTTTTGTTCATAGTATGATTAGTTTAGACAGATTACGTGGTTTGATTGGCTATGTTTTAAAAAAAATCAGTGGTACTGAGTTGTAATTTAATTTGAAATAAAAGAAGTTGATACTGTAATGAAGATGTAAAGTAATACTGTTTTATTTGTTTATTTTTTTTTTAAAGGGACAACTGTATACAAAATTACTCTTGGTTATAGCCAACATAAAATAAAATTACCTATACGTATTGAGGTAATAAAAAAAAAGTAAATAAATGTATTGTATTTTTTATGCGTACTTAAAAGTATAAGTGTACAAATAACAGTTTCATGTTTAGTGTTGTGTAGTTTTAATCTCCTCAGTATAGGGGTAAACGAGGGTATTATTGCGGTTGCTCCAACTATTGCGGCACTCTCGAATAATGCGTATATTTTAATTGAACTGATGAGTTATGGATAATAAATATTTGAAATCACTAAATCAAGTTATAGAGTACCTAATTCATTGAACTTCAGTTCAAAAATAGCCTTAAAAACTTTACATTTGTATAACAAAATATCACGTCAGCAATAACTGGTGCACACATAGCCTCTTTCATTATGATGGTATTATTGCGGATACCCGGTTGATTTAGCATTGAAATTGACCACAATAATACGTGCACAATAATACATACAGGCCCGCAATAATACCAGCAGTGGCAACTGAACTTTAAAACCTCTTTTTAAATCGGTATTCATGAGTTTATACATTTATAAAAGGGGAATTCAATAGTTTTTGAGTCCAACATTAATATTAAAAAAAAAATCACAACGATTTGATGCACTTAATTTCTTGGACAATCGTTTAAAGCTAACCACTAAAAAAACCGCAATAATACCCCCGTTTACCCCTAGTAAAAAAAAAAAAAAAAAAAAAAAAAAAAAAAAAAAAAAAAAAAAAAAAAA